TTCTAGAGTCTGAGGAGGACGTTGCAAATTGAGCAATCTCCTACCCATCATATCCCACACGTGGTCAATTGGGGATAAGTCGGGAGATCTTGGTGGCCATGGTAACAATGTGACATCATTATGTTGAAAGAAGTCTATTGTGACTCTTGCAACATGTGGTCGGGCATTATCTTGTTGGAAAGTTGGATCTGCCAGGGTGTCAAGATAGGGTAAAAGATGGGGTTCTAGAACTTCGTGGATATAACGCTGCGCGTTCATGTTACCTCTGATGAAGATTAAAGGTGACCTGGAACCACAAGCTATAGCACCCCAAACCATAACTCCAACAGTGTGATGAACATGTCTTTCAACAAAAAACTGTGGATTCCTCCTTTCACCACGTCGCCATCTAACCCCGGCACGACCATCGTGCATGCCTAAACAAAATCGAGACTCTCACTAAAGACAATACTGTTCCATTCCTGATCCCAGAGTGACCGTTGTCTGCACCACTCAAGGCGATCACGTCGGTGTTCTCGAGTTAAAGGGAGGACCCAGTGTGGCCGGTATGAAAACAAGCCAAAACTTCTCATTCGTCGGTAAACACTTCGCATGCCAATAGGTCTTCCGTGTTCTGCAAACCATTCATTTGCAATGGACCTGGTAGTGGAGAAACGGTCCCTTAAGGCCAATAATCTTAGGCGGCGATCTTCACGGTCTGTTGTTCTACGGCGGCGTCCAGTGCCCCTTGCTCTTTGCGTACGGCCTTCTCGAAGCCATGCCTGACAACACCTAACCTCAATGTCTACACTTCTTTGCACTCTAACTGCAATTGCCCGAAAAGAAAGTCCAGTTTGCCGAAGTCCCACTATACGGCCCCTAAGAAACTCACTAAGTTGACGAAATCGTACAGGTCTCCGTACTCTAGGCATTGCAACTGATCGTAAAGGATGTCAAGAACCAAAATCCGCCAACGTTGATTCTTTACTGCGGCTGAAATATCCAGTTTTAGAGCGTTAGTGAATTAAAAAAAAGCAGTATAAAAACCGGAATGTCCAACTGATAAAGCTGAAAATTTTTTCACTTGTTATTTACAGTAAGATAAATAGATTCACCAACTTTTATCAAAATAAAACCATTTAAACTGGGTGTTCGGATTTATATGTCACTTAGTATATATTCAGCTTAATCCACTTTAACCTGTTCACCGGAGTGCTAACCGCATAAACAACCCCGAGCAATGACGCATACGTGTTTAGTGCGTCTCAACACGCAATAACTCAGCATTAGACCTCCAGCAACTTCTGAAAGTTATCGGAGCCATGTCGAAAGTTGTTTGAGAATTTTATGAGAATTGCCGCCTTGGGATTGCTCCCTGCCCTTTTCTGAGGACTGCGTCGTTTCTCACTGCGGCTATGTAGATATGATGCGAATTAAAGAACTTCCCAGGGGCATCAGAATGTTTTTAAATGTGGCCTAAGGAAAGCAAACAAAATCACTTTATCTCTGCGAAACACCTGGCAGACGGCTCAAAGAGACGTATTACTGTTCCTGCTTGTTAGAAAACTCTGCCATCTTATGGATAAGAATAATGATCTTTATTCATTGGAAGCAAGGTAAAACAATATGAATTGATATCCGGAAAGGGCGAAGTTCAGCTTCCTTTCCTAGAGGAATAGCTGATCTTCCACTTAACCCTACATAACGCACTTAACTAACTTATCTAAATTCAAGTTTAGATGGTGAAAATGTAAGAATGCTGTTCAATTAAAAGCACCACTTTCAAAACAATTACGTAACTAATACGTATGAAAGACAGGAAATATTGACAGAAGACATACAGAGCCAGACACGAAAAAGAGAGATACATGTAATCATATACACACAGGTACAATGCTCAAAATTCAGATATAGCTAGTAAACAAATTATTGAAACAATAAAATTCTATATTAACATATGTACAAATACAGTCAAAATAAAACGAGGTAAACGAATGAATGGGTCAATGCCAACTAAAGAAAATGATATACAAGAAATCAACGATAAAAACGGAATTGCTATTATGGACTTGAATGAAGTAGCGAACCAATCTTTAAAACATTTCACAAACATAGGAAGAATTTAGCACAAAATATATTGGGAAAACAAAACTAAAATAACGCAAGGTTCAAATAACTCAGTCATAGAAACTACCATGACTTTCGAAACAAAACAAAATAATACCAGGAAAAAATAATATACAAGCAGAAACACTAAAACTAATTGCAAGACACATAGCCGCACCACTAACATTTATCATTAACTAGATATCCAGACCATTTCCTATAATTTTGATGTAACAATCTTGAAATGGTATTAAAAAATGATGAATCTATTGCTAAGTATAACATTTAATCCGAGCAGCGATCTGAATTCATGGAACAAACAGGTACACAAGATGCTATAAAATCTCATATATCAAAAATTATCAGTAACATAGATAACAATAAATCATGGACGGTGTTCCTAAAGGGTCAATTCTCGCATCACAAACCAGAGGATTTTACGTTTAATCTGATTAGTTTAAAGATACTGTCAAAATATCCAAAACTACAGTGTAGGTGCCACATTCAAGAATGTATGTAATGATGTCTCATTACCTACAACTTTTACTATAGCTTTATCTGATATTTTTAACAGTAATGAAGTTATTAACCGTTTCCAGGCTGAGACGTTAAGATACAGAATATTACCACGTTATTTTTTTTAACACAGATTAATTTATACATATACTTAACTTACTTAAATTTTCTAGGGGATAGATCAGTCCGTTGTGCAGTACAGTTTACTGCTCTGACGCAGATCAAAACATTAATATCAAAATTTTGCATCTTTAGCAATGGGCTGTGAGCTGAGAGCTGATTGGGGATATGCATGGCTATCAAAAGCACTATCAGTTACTATCATGAGTTAAATATTAGATTAAGGACTATGATATATTAACGTCTTCACATATTATCTCAAAAGTACTATAATATGTTCACAAAACATGCGTTGGATTGAAAAGTAGGGCGTAACACCCGGAGAACTAAATAGAAATGTACACTTCACTGCCCCGTAGCACCTAATACATATTAACGTCCAACTAATTAGTATAGGTTAGATATAGTCAAGTCTAAATGTTTACACTGCATTGTTTGTCGCCGAAATTGCGTATTTTTAGTGCATTGTCTATCAATGCCTACCAAAATGACATCTCTACATAATAATACTTACCTTCATTAGGCTTGTGATGCTCTTTGAACATAATGTAAGAAGTACTATGAATTGAAATCGTCTAGCACCACAATTATTTGAAAACACTTGCACTTCTGAAAAATAACTTCAACGATACGAATTTAATTACAGGACCGTCAAAAAATTTACTTATGTCACGTGCACCTTGATTATCACCATAAAATATGAGAATTATGAGACAAACAAATCCTTGACAGACTTTTTCTACTTAGTCTGCATTCGAAGTCAACGTTGAACCCTCGCAAAAAGATCTGGGAGCTATAACCGTTTGAGGTAATTCCTTGAGGGCTAATTGGGGATATGGCATAACCATTGAAAGTACTATTACTTATTATTATATGTAGAGTATTAGATTAGGAACTATTATATATATATATATATATATATATATATAGTAGCGTTTTTCTGGGTTCTTTTGGGAGTGGATTAAAACACTGGATTGCACAAAAAGAAATGCACTAATTTATTTATCTTGAATAGATAGAACATTTATGTACACCACTATTTATGTCTGACTAATTCTTATGTCGCGCCACTGACTGGACTATATCCCACTCTGCTCGACTCTGGTGTACTCTGAACGCCGCTTCCCTCTCGCGTCCGTCGAATTATATAGTCCCCATCGCTGATTTGAGAAAGGTCTGGCGAACCACAAAGCGGCATCGAGGTCACTTTGCGTCGATCCAGAAGGCGAGTCACTGGCATGGTCCTCAACAGATATCGCCACCGCAGGGGAGTGGCACCGTCCCCAACAGAGATCGGCCATGAAGGAGAGTAGGAGAGAGGAGAGTCTCCCAACAGATGGCGCCAACAGTACTATTTATCGTCACAATATATATATATATATATATATATATATATATATATCGTCGCCTTCCGGAGAAAATCACGTAACTCCACATTTTACCAAAAATTAGATTTTCATGCCATCTTTTAGTTCTAAAGGTAAATTCTCCGTGCACAAAATATCTAAGTCCCGAAACTATTATTTACACGTTAAAACTCGTCAACGCAATATACGTATCTCCTGATACTGTTTAGTGTCCCGCGAAAAATGCGTAAGCGCCCAGTCCCTATAGGAATAGTGCGGTTTGCGTGTCAGTACTTGTCAGTCCGCACATTTTGTTATTCTTAACGTGTCTAATTAACTTTTTGGAGAGCTGTTTTTTGCAAGGTGGATGGTAAGTACTACAAATATGTTATATCAGCGTTTTAAATATTCAGCATTCGATCATAATCTTTATAAATGCAATTGTGCATGACACTGGAGATACGTAGTTTTCCATAACCTTCCATATTTCTCTACAGATGTCATTTTAGGGAGATACATAGTTTGCGTACAATCCACTAGAATAAGTTCATAGATTATCATTTTGTTTTCTAATATTTGTTTTTTATCAAACCACAATAGCTGTCTAAAATAGTTTACTGACATTTCGGCTGCCGCATAATGAATATATGAATTAAAGAAATCAAGAAACCAGGTAAATAGATTGATGAAAAATGATCCATAGTCATGTCATAATTCAAATGTGTTTTTATAAAGGCAGCCGTGGAGGGTTTTTATATTTCAAATTAATTTTAAATCGTCATTCTATTATTTGAAAAAGGATGTGGCAGCCTCACTAAAGTCCTTACCACCTATGGTTTTGATTGTTGCCCATAAAAATCAAGATAGATTAACCACGTCTTTATGAGGTTAAAAATCCTTATTTCCAACATTGTGTTTATCTTTTGTTCACAGATCATTCAGAATGTCTAGCAGAGCCAGGAAAATATTAGATATGGCAAGAGAGGGAATCTATGAGGTTGGAGATAACGGAATATGTAATCTGATCAGCTGTGCAGAAAATAGTATTGTGGAACCAGGCTTTGCCACCCTCGAGGATGTAGTTTACCCCCAACCAACACATGATCTGTTTGATTCAGCTATACAGGAATTTCACCAATCGGTACCAGCACTAATTGACGGCATAGGACAGTCTGGCAGCACACAATGTGACACCTTACAGTCCAACGAAGAAGTTAATTTGGTTGAAGGGGAAAATGAGAACGCTGCATATGACACGTCGCCATCAAATGAAAATAGAGTTGATTTGATGGAAGAAGAAAAAGATAACGCAGCATATGGAATGGAAGAACAAACAGAAGAGTTGTTCCAGAGAAAAAGGGCTAAGCGGCATAATCTTGACCAATCAATGTGGTTAAAAATTAGAAATCAAGCGAACCGCGAAAAGGGCTTAGCATATAAAGGCAAAATGAAGGTTGGTGGAAAATGGAAATATGACATTCCTCGAAACAAGAAAATGTTATCTAATGTTTGCGACTGTAAGATAACAACTAAATCTAGTAAAATAGAGTGTAGAAAATTGACTCAGGAAAACCGAGAATATATATTCAATATATTTTGGAACCACATGAATTGGCAAGAGAGAAAAATTTATATCCAGAGTTTGGTGAAAATTGAAAATTTAAAAAGAAGAAGGGGAGCCACTGAAAATAATCGAAAAAACTATTCACTAAAGTACTACCTTAAAGTCGAGAACAAAGAATTAAGAGTCTGCAAGAAAATGTTCCTAAATACTATGAGCATGAAGGAATCTACAGTATTAAACTGGACGAAAAGTGACAAATTGGAAGAAAATGAAAAGAGACTAAATGACAAAAGAAAACAGAGTAGGAGTAAAATGTATGGAGGAAGATACGAGGCACTAAACCAGTTTTTCGATTCATTACCGAAAGTCGAATCACACTATTGCCGAGCATCAAGCAGCAAACTGTATTTGGAACCGATGTGGGCTTCAACAAATCAGTTGTATGGCTTTTACAAACATCATCATTGCCCTGACAGAGGTGATGAACCCGTATCACGAACGATCTTTTTCAAAGAGTTCAATAAACGAAATCTCTCTATATATGTTCCCAAAAAGGACCTGTGTGACACCTGTGTTGCATACGATGCAAAAAATCTTCCAGAGGAAGAATACGATTTACATCAGGTAATGAAAAAAGAAGCTAGAGAAGAAAAAGAGAAAGATAAGAAGTCATCTGCTTCAGTCTTTACGATGGATTTGCAAGTAGTTCTCCTATGCCCAAAATCGACGGTCAACGCAATGTATTATAAGACTAAGTTGATCGTGCACAATTTTACATTGTATAACTTAAAAACCCAAGACGGATACTGTTTTTTATGGAACGAGACGGAAGGTGGCCTTACGTCAAACGAATTCTCATCTATATTGGCTGACTTTATAGAGAACACTATAATTCCTTCACTACAGGAAGAGCAAAAAGAAATAATCCTATATAGTGACGGCTGTACAGGGCAGAATCGAAACTCTATCCTGGCGAATACTTTGGTTAACATCGCAATGCTCCATAAGATCACCATCATCCAAAAATATCTCGAAAAAGGGCATACGCAAATGGAAGTCGACTCAATGCACTCTTGCATTGAAAAGAAGATTCGGAAGCGTAAAATCAATATACCTGCTGATTATGTGCATGCCTGTGTGATTGCGAGACAAAATCCAAAGCCTTACAATGTAAGATACATTACATTAAGCTTCTTTAAGAAATTTGATACTCCTAATTACTACAAATCCATTCGACCCGGTAGAGATACAGTAGTTAAAATACGTGCTTTAAAGTATGACCCATCTGGAAAGATCTACTACAAATTGAGGCACACTGACCCCTGGGATCAACTAAATCAGAGAGTTAAGCTGTCACCACCGAGACCAACACAGAGCTTACCAAACATGTATCAAGAAAGAAGGAAGATAAAAAAGGAAAAATATGATCATCTCCAAATTTTGAAGAAAACTCTACTTCAAGATTACCATACCTTCTATGATAATCTTCCCTACGAGGAAAATTAATTTTTCACTATAAACTATGTTCTATGTAAATACATAATATAATAACTAAGTTTAGGTTTTTCTGGAAAAATACGTATATCCCCTACCATAAGGACAAAAATTGCGTAACTCCTTAAAGAAACATAGTTTTATACTTAGCACATTTTTTTTTGTTTTCATCGATGTGTGGCAGTTTTTCCAAGAATTAGTATAAATTTCGATAAATTATTACATAAACTCAATCTACAGGAAAGTTTTTTGTCTCCCCTGAAAAATTTGCCTTTGGGGAGATAAGTGATTTTCTCCGGAAGGCGACGATATATAAATAAATGAAGCTTCCGCCTTTAGTTGGGTACTTCGACAAATTTCATGCAATGAGGACTCTTTATAGGTTACTAGTCTCTAGCTATCAATGGACTTTGCCACCATCGTCAGGAGAATAGTATGTGGGATTGTTGCTAAATGTTATTGACGGTTAAGTTGAGGGAAACATTTAGTAACCTGGTGAAAGCTGGATACATGGTACATTCGTTAAAATTAGCATAAAATTCACACACCTGTATGTCAGGAACACATCAAAACGGATCAAAAATATATGAAACGAAAGTTTGGCCACACCATTTTGTGCAGCATCAGGTTGTTTCACGATTTCCAGAATTAGTTTTGCAATACTGCCATACATTAAAGATCTAACACCAAAACTTTCTAGATTGTACAACACTTTAAAATGCCGCATTGCCTACACATCCTCACTCACAGTCAACAGTGTTTTCTCCAAAATGAAAGATAGAGTTCCTCTGCTTGGCCTATCCAACATTGTCTACTCCATCAAATGCAATAACTGCAATCTCACATACATATATATGTCTAACTTCAAGATCACTTAATGGTAGAATAACCTCACATAAAAGTGATGCCAGACTGCATCCAGAAGGATGTGCTCTGGCATCTCACGTCAACTCCACAGGGCATCAAAAGAGATACAATGATATCAAGGTGCTGGACAGAGAAAATTATGTACCAAAACGCCTGTTTCTAGAAATGTCACATATCTTCATGATAGACAATTGCATGAACAACAAATCTGATCTCAATCAACGTATCGTCGTCTATCCATATTTGCTGAACTGCGAAAAATTGGAAAAGCAACATATCTCTCCCAACATCGACCTCTCCCAATAATCGCTCAATCTACATAATAAAAATTCTTCATTATCTTAATAAAATCAAAATTGCTCTAAGTCACAGTTACGACTCAACGAATGACCTTCCAATAACTTCAATGTCACACTTCATACGCCACGATAGAATGTCAGTCGGCCCGCACGTGTTGGATAATGTGGTTATCAGTGGGAAAAAAAGATGAAATCTCGAAAGAATTTCCAATAGTTGATAGTTTTAAAGTTTTTAAATTTCTTCCAAAATCAATCAACGTTTAAGTAAAAAACCTTTCTAAAAATGAAAAAAAAGCTATGATTTGCCATTTAATAATAAAATAATTCCGACCTAATCGAACCTCATCAGTCCAGTTTTTTATTCGTCGACTATTTGTTCCCCTCACTGTTGTTTAAAAACAATTTCAGCAACAATCTCGCCGACTTAGTAAGTAACTATTTTTCTTCCTAATTGTTAATTGTTGCTATTGTCAATAGCTGTTTCCAGCTCCAGACGATGAAGACATAGATCATCGAAAGCTCGAGTTTAAGTTATAAGAGTGGATTTTTGCAATACTTTGCCTTCTACCCAAAAAAATTCAAGGATATATATATATATATATATATATATAATATTTTACAACTTATCCAACAAATTTTGACCACATGCACTGTTACGAAACAAGTTGATTTCTCAAAAAAAAAAAAATGTAATAAAAGTCCTACAGAAATCGAGATAATAAAATAATACAGTTTTACAGTTCACTTACTTATGAAAGCTGTTCAAAATTGTTTCCATTGACTGCAATGCAAGCTTGCTGTGCCAGAAGGTTCAAATTATCGGCAGCCACTGTGTTTCGGTCACGCAGTTCTTCAATATTCTGAACTGGAGTACGGTATACCTCGTTTTTCAAGTATCCCCATAAAAATAAGTCCAGCGAATTCGGATCGAGAGATCGTGGAGACCATGCAATTGAACTAAATGTTTCGTGATGTGGTATGTGCCTATTCGGAAATCGGTGTGCATTCAAACGAGAAGCCGCTCATGAATTCTGCCCTGCTTCTCCGTACGCTAAAATAATGTCCACACAATAATGTCCTCATTAGTGTACACATGTGCCATTTTTATTAATAAATACCTAAAAACATAAACTTGCAAAATACTTTCTTATTTAACTTCATAAAAGTAGACCGTTCTTCATTCAGATCACCCACGACACAGATTAGACCTTATATACACGTTCTTATCAGTATCAGTAACACAAAAAATTCCTGCTATTTTGTTTTGGTCAGTTGTTTGGTACAACATTTTCTACAATAAACTACTATTGCGTGTTCTATTATCACGAAGATGAACTTTTTTTTGAGATATCAACTTCTTTCGTTACAGTGTGGTTAAAATTTGTCGAACAAGTTGTGAAACACCCTGAATAAATGTCTTCTCCTAATTATCTTTTAAGTACTGACATTCAAAAGTACGATAACATCATAAAATCAACTTTACTGATGTAGGTTGTTTGAAATAGTCTTCAAATGCAACTGGACTAAAGCTGAAACGAAAGTAATGTGGGAATACCAAGTAAATAGCATGCACCTTTGCAAGCTAAATGGAGAGTGGAATGTATTCATAACGACAAAAGTTGAACATTTCACACTAGAACATTCAAACAGCAATTAAAACTAAGACGCCACACCTAGTGTACACCTTTTATACTTTTTGGGGACAGTAATAGCAGACACTGAGGCTATTTAATCCAAAGATAACTGGCGCAACGACAAAAGAGTGAGACCGGAAGATAGGCGAGATTACTTTTTAAATGAAAAGGAGTGTTGCTCTGCCGTATAAAAGAACTTTTTTTAGGAGATAGAAGCGAATAAAGGAGACGCTTGATGTTCACACTTCTGTTTTAATCACGGTGACTGTTGAATAAGTATTCCTTTCCGCTCATGTTTTCAACTTTGCAAAGCTATTTTGAGACTGAGCTTTGACTTTCTGGATAGCTGATGAATTAAAATCAGAAAAGTGAAATCTAGAATTACTCTCGGCAAACATGTGGAAGTTCAAATTATTGATGGCAGAATTTGAACACGCAAAGAGAGAAGCTTTCATCATACGGAATCACGAGGATTACCATATGAGTGGGAGAAAGTGGAATGAAATTATCCTCTGACAAGACGCAAGCAGTGATAGCTTCTGGCAGCCTCTAAGAAGATGGTAGTGGTGAGACTTTCTAGCAGACAGAAGCTGACCTGTTAAGGTTGGAAGTGCCAAGGTACAAACCCAGGATGCGAAGTATGGATAGAAACCCCAGTAGCGACAGGCCTAGGATTTTGGCAGAGGTGGCAAACTCGATTATGCCATACGCAGATTTTATCGATAACAAGACCCTGAGAAAAAAAGTGTATAATACGCGGTAGCACTGAACACTACCCACACATAGTGCGGTTCAGCAAGGGTTAATTCGACTAAGCAGTGACATTCTTTAAAGCAGTGGCAAACACATTCGCCAATTTGTCTGCTTTTTATTCTAACTCGTACACAATAAGCTTTCTCTATCGCTCTCTAGCTCCCTGTACAATTATTCTTTAGTTCATAGAGTACAAAGCTACGGAGGAACTTACAGAGAAATGCTTGTCAGTTCATCAGCCATCTGTCACGTTCCAAAATCACGTAACCTTTTTTTTCTATTTATTACTTATCAGTAATTTGAATTTCTCTTCATTGATAATACAGTGACCATTCCTAGGCCAAACCCTTTCCAGTGATTTTCTTTTGGCAAATTTAATAGTGTATTGATTGTATAATTTCGCTCGTATTATATCTTTCTTTCTCAGCGATTCAGTATGGTGTTGACGATCAGCAAAAAACTCTGTAGTTTAATATCTGTAAATACTTCGGGCGAATACCATGGTAGACGTCTCGCGGGGTTATCTCGAAAAATAATCTTGTCAGGCTGTATTTAAGATTTATAACATCCTTTCTTTTTTTTACACACAGTAGTGGAGCACATGTGCGTTTTTCTATATTAATCAATATATTGTGATTCATTTAATATCTTGTTTTATTTGGCTCACTCTGTGTGTACTGTTACTTAAATTTCTTCATCTCTGTTAGATTCGCCTTTTGTGTAGTGGTCAAGCAAAACAAGTTCCGACTAACATCTCGGGGAGTTGTGGCTTAATCCGTCCTAAGTCACTGGCGCTCTTAACCCTCCCTACTCTCCGCTTTATTGAACTAGGGCATAAATTTGCACGCCACTAGACAACTGTTTTGCTTGGACCAACCGTTAGGTAGTATTTATCATTGTGTTTTATTAATTAACCAAAAAAAGAGGTAGCACATCACCAGTTTAAAACTCGTATCAATATTATACTTGCCTTCATGTCTCTTTGAGTGTAGCAAATAGACAAATCCCTCAAAGAACTGCAGCGATCGATTACTCGGAAGCGCTAGGCAATTACGAAGATTTGGAGTTTTTGGTAAAAATGTTGAGAAGGGTTTCACTAAAGCATTTTTAGGGAAGAAAGATAATCATAGTACTTCCGATTATGCTGGGAGTAAAAACCCACTTACTGATTGTGTACTCGTATATTGTTTGATTTTAGGGTTCTACCCAAGATTTTACATCTTTCACACAAGTTCCAGCGGACGATACATACTCTAGTAGAGTTTATTCGACATTTGGATAAATAATAGTGCAGCATCATCAAAAACAGAATGAAAATTGAGTAATCATTTTTATATGGTAACTTCATTCATAATGTTATCCTATCAAGTATTAAAAATAAGAATATTTTCTATAATGTTGACTAATTTTAAAATTAGTAGTTTTGGAGATATTTTGTCTACTGTAATAATGCACCAGA